CATACCGGTTTTTTTGCTGTTTTTCGTAGCAGTAATATAATTGCTCGTAAAACTATGCTTGAATAACGATCACCAAATCCCCAATATTCTGAAAAGTAACATACTCCAGAACGAACCGTAGCTTTTTTGCCTAAAAAAGGAAATGAAGAAACCCAAAAAAATAAGTCATAAACCTAATTAGAGACATACACCAAGAATCCAGAGCCTCGAAATTATCCACGATAAGGTACCTGATCCAGAATTTTGCCAGTTTTGAGTAATAGATCAAGGGCTAAAGAAAAAGTTAGATAAAATCTCTTAAAATATACCAATTAGCATTTCTAAGTCATCGAGCAGCAAAATGCACGAACGGAATTGACTGAGTTCTTTGAAAATTTCATGCAACTTCGCCACTTTTGCTGCTTCGTCCATGTGGAGGAAGTCATCCGGCGAGTATACATGGATATTCGGAATATCAGAATTTTTAGCTATAAGAGCTGCCAAACATGATTTTCCTGAGTTTCGTACACCTGCAAAAAAAAACTCTGGCTTTTTTAAGCTCTAGTGACAAGTGGTGCTTTTTTTGGATTAATAAGCAGTATAACAAAGACAAGGAAAAAAAACAAAAATAGATACTACCTGAAGGTATGCAGCTCGGGACCGAATGACCTGGCAATGCTTTCCCCCACCCTTCAAATCTGTGGAAGCATGCCAGTAACGTCACTAACATGGGATACCCACGTCATCGGTTATCTTTGGCAAAAAAGTGTCCAGATCAAGTGAATTGTCATTCTCCGATATGCATTTTTGTTAACGAAGACAAAAAGCATTGATATTTTATATATTTAGGCGTTTCGATTTAATAAAGACGAGAAATCTCAGAAAATAAAATCATCCAAGCGAAAATTTGGTACCACTCTGGTACCCCGTTAGAGCTAAGAACAAGTTACGGCACAGGGAGCGAGGGGAAGCTGGGAGAGCACTGCCAGGCTATTTTATTCAAAGTTGAATTTTTCCAATTTTTACTCTGTAGCATCAATTTCATATGTATATTTTCTAATTTTTTAAAACCATTCTAGTAACCATGGTCATCCTCACAACAGGTACCGTTAACTCGTATTCAAAACCACAGAAATTTCTTTAAAAAATTTTGTATTGTTAGATGTGCTGCAACTACGGACAATGCGACCGGAAGATAGCCATTCGACGCGAATTTTGATTCTTTTCTGATTTTGCGTTTCCGAAATTAATAAAACAAAATTTTTTTGCCATAATTAAGCAAAAAACCCATCGGCCAGCGGCCCTTGCAGAAGTGGCCAACCCTTTGACATTCCGGTAACTTCAGCCATTTCCTTGAGAGTAGCTTCATGTAAACAACACTACGACTGTATTTCCAAGTAACACACACTTCTTGCAACTGAATGCCATCCTTATACCGCACAGTTTAGAAATACAAAGAACTAATAACATTTTTTATTAATTTAACTGTGATACTACGAAATGTTGAGAAGGAACAACTGCATTGTTGATTGAGTATTAGCTTAAAAATCTAGAATTCGGGCTGTGAAAAAAACTGACCCGTTAGCAAA